CGACCTATAAAATCCACTGGATTTGTGAATTTATAGGATATCGATAGCTCCTGACGAAGCAGTAATAGCGAAATATTGAGCTCATAAAGTTACATTTTAGAGATATAGGTCGTTCTCTTTTTTTGCATATGGAACAACAATGGAAAACTACAAATAATTGTTAGCTAGGTTTTATGTTATTTTTAATTACACTTACTCTCTCTTTTTTTGCATATGGAACAACAATGGAAAACTACAAGTAATTGTTAGCTAGGTTTTATGTTATTTTTAATTACACTTACTCTCTCTTTTTTTGCATATGGAACAACAATGGAAAACTAGAAATAGTGTTGAGTTCAGGATTCAACACTGACTACAAATAATTGTTAGCTAGGTTTTATAATTTCTACTAGTGTATAGCCCGTCAAAAATAACGGGGCAAGTACTACCACCCCCACTCCATAGTATATATTTTGCGAAATCAAGCTTGACCAACAAAGAGGCAAAAAAGTGCAGTCGAGGCAGTCAAACGTCGTAAAGTTCCTTTGTGAGCCACTCCAAATTAGGATAATTCATGAAATGAATTCGTGGCGTATTCATATAATAATTACTGCTAAAATTAGTATATATATATATATTTTTAAGAAAAACTTGTACTGAATATCACTTACCAGTTTGCCATTTTTATCCATAAAATAGAAAAAAAAAATTAAACGTACATAAAATAATAATGTAGATGATTTTCATTCACGCACTTGGTGTATTTGACCTTTCGTTATAATAAAAGGATCCTACCAATACAAATCAATTAAGGGTTAAAGAAAGCAGATTAAAGTGGTAACGAAAATACAACGTTTCGGCTACACATGTAACAAACATTTATGGTCAGAACAATGCACCTTTTTAGATAAAACGGTGTTATACACTTTAATTAAGCTGTTTCAATTCACATTTAATTGACTTTGCATTGTTATATGAGAGTCTGCAGATGTTAAAAGCAAGAAAAAGAAAGACAACAACACCGATAAGTACAGTTTTAACATAAAAACAGCTTACTTTATTTGTATGTTAATATACAAACAGTTAAAGAAGAAAAGGTGTTATATAATGTAATTTCATGTATTTCTAGCCATGATCTATGTAGGTTAGTGTGCAAAGAGTTAAAGAAGAATTAGTGTTATATGATGTAAATACTTATAGCTATGATCTATGAATAATAGTGTGCAGACAGTTAAAGAAGAATTAGTGTTATATAATGTAAATATTTATAGCCATGATCTATGAATAATAGTGTGCAGACAGTTAAAGAAGAATTAGTGTTATATGATGTAAATACTTATAGCTATGATCTATGAATAATAGTGTGCAGACAGTTAAGAAAAGAGTTAGTGCTATATAATGTAAATATTTATAGCTATGATCTATGAATAATAGTGTGCAGACAGTTACGAAAAGAGTTAGTGCTATATAATGTAAATATTTATAGCCATGATCTATGAATAATAGTGTGCAGACAGTTACGAAAAGAGTTAGTGCTATATAATGTAAATATTTATAGCTATGATCTATGAATAATAGTGTGCAGACA